GCCTACCTGGTAATTGGTGAGGTCGTGGTTGTGGCGCTCCTCGATGTCGGTGAGCTGGCGCTCCAAGGACTCCTTGGTGCCGCGGACGGATTCCAGCTCGATGCTCTTGGCCTGGAGCTGCCGCCGGTATTCGGCGATCTCCTCCTTGGCCGAGCGGATGGCTTCCTTGTTCTGCTCGGCGGCTTCGGTGAGCTTGGCGTAGCGGCACTTGAACCACTCCTCGGCCTGGAGCATGTTCTGGTCGGAGTGGCACTCGAGCTGGGAGCGGATCTCCTTGAGGGCGGCCGAGAGGTCGGTCTTCAGGTAGTCCTTGCGCTCGACGGTGACGTGCGAGGCCTGGATCTGGGCCAGCAGGTCGGCCACCTCGTCCTCGTGGTTGCCGCGGAGGAAGGCCACCTCATCCTGCAGGGACTGGACCTTCTTGTCCAGCTCGACCTTGACCAGCGAGGCTTCCTCGACGTCCTTGCGCAGGGCGCGGATGATGGCCTCGGTGTCGTCGCGGAGGCGCGCCTCGTCCTCGAAGCGCTCCTTGAGGCGCTGGATGTCCTCCTCCAGGTGGTCCGAGTCCAGCTGGAGGGCCGCCTTCTCGTGGTTGACCTGCTCGAGGGCGGCCCGCAGCTCCCGCAGCTCCTGCTCGAAGGCGTCGCCCAGCTGCGACCGGCCGGCCTGCTTCTGCCGCAGCGCCGCGATCTCGCTCTCCAGCTCCTTGTTCTGCTGCTCCAGGGAGTGGACCTTCTCGATGTAGCCGGCGAAGCGGTCGTTGAGGCCCTGCAGCTGCTCCTTCTCGTTGGAGCGGCACAGCTTCAGCTCCCCGCCGCCGCCGCCGCCGCCGTTGAAGAGCGAGGACTGGCTCAGCTCCAGGCTCTCGGAGGAGCTCAGCCCCGTCGAGCCGTAGGAAGCCCGCGCCGCGCCCAAGTGGCGCTTGTAGGAGGACGAGACGGTGCTGGGCGCGCTCCGCGACCACGACTGGGACCGGAACCCGCTGGAGGGCGACACGCTGGCCCGGCTGAAGGTGGTCCGGCTCTCGGCCACCCGCCGGTAGGACGGGTGGCTCAGCGGCTCCAGCGTGTAACTCATCTTGGAAGACTTGGGGATGGGCGCTCGGCGCGAAGTTCCCGGCGGCGGGCTGGCTGCAGAAGGCAGCGCCTTATATACCGGAGCTGCACGTTGTCTCCGAAGGGGGAGGGCCACACGGTGTGACACCACCCGGAGGGGCGGGGCCAAAGTCCTGAGGCCCTGCCTCTTGCGGATAAGCCACGCCTCCTCTCTCCCCTTCTCTCTTAGACTGCCGGTTCCTAGGCTTTCCCTTCCATTCATCAACCCTCCCTCCCCAAACGGCCTTTTCTCTCCCCTCTTTGTCTTCCGAGACAAATTCCTTCCTTCCTTCCTCCTTGTGTTTTCTGGGTTTCCCTCTCTCCTCTCTCCTTCTTTTTTGGACCCCGTTTCCTCTCCCCTCTCTGGCTTTGGATTCAAATCCCTTCCTTCTGTCTTCAGTTCCTTCCCACACCTTTCCGAACGGGCACTCTAGCCTGGGTTTTACTGGGAAGGCACTCAGTCAAGTGGCACTACTCTAGAGTAAGTTTGTTCATGCACCGGACCCTCAATGGCCTTTTCAGCGCCGGACCTGGGGAACCCGGTCAACTCTCTCACTCCCAAGCGAGTCGCTCCTTACTTTAGTGGCCAAGGAAGAGTTGATCGCCTTGCATCCGCGCTACCCAGCCCCTCTTTTTCCCCCCATCGCCCTCCCAGCCCCCTCTATTAATCCTCTCTTTCCACCTCCTTGGATGTTTTTTTCTTTGCATCCGCGCTACCCAGCCCCTCTTTTTTTTCCCCATCGCCCTGCCAGCCCCCTCTATTAATCCCCTCTTTCCACCTCCTTGGATTTTTTTCTTGTTTCATCCTTCCTTCTCTCCCCTCCCCCCTCCCCTCTTCTCCAGGAGCCCCTCCTCCCTTTCCCCATAGACTCCGTTGCAGCGGATCACCATGGAACAGCCAGCCCGATTCTCCTGCTCTCTCTCCCCTCCCCGTCGCCCAACCACCAACTTCCTGCTCGGCCCAAACGCTGCGGGATGAAAAAGGGAGGTGGAAAAGTGGGGGTGGGGACCGCTAGAGCGACCCGGCCAGGCCTCTTGGCGTTGGTGGTTCGGGGAAGCCTGGGGGAGATTCAGGTAAGGCTGGGAGACAGGGCTGGGGCCGTCATGGCGCATTCAGCACCAAGGCCAGCGCCTCCGGGAGCGCGCCGGCCGCCCCCGTCCTTGAGCTCGCCCTGTTCCGCTGGCTCGGCCTTGATGCCGAAGAGCCCCAAGCAGGATGCTGGGGTCGCGCGTGCCTCTCTGTGGGCCGGGACTCTGTGGGTCCCGAGTGTCTGCGGGACTTTGGCTGTGGGGGCTGTTTTCCCCCCTGCAATGCAGAACTGCAGCCAGATCCGAAGAGAGAAACCTTTTCCATTCTCTCGGTCTTTTCCAGCGAGACGGACCTCTCTCTCTCTCCCTCTCGCCCACCCCCCTGAGCCCCTGCTTTAAAAAATGGAATCAGGCTCTTTCCGAAAGGAATCGCAGGAAGCAACGAATCAGTAACTGAACTACCGGGCGAAGGTTTGACATTGAAAGGTCAGACCCACCGGAGGGGGTGGCGGCGGTGGAAGGGATTGGAACGGAATGGCTTCCTGATGCTTACTTGAGAGTAGGTTCCACTCCACGAAGTGCGATTTACTTTGGGGTAGACCTTCTTAGGCACCAACTGCTGCATAATTTGCGAGTCTGTCTCGGAATATGCCAATCCACTCACCACTCATTTTTCTAGTCGCTGGGCTGAATCTAATAGAACCACTCTTCACTTTCCTGAGCTGAATCATCGGTGCCTTTTTTTTTCCTCACGTGAGACCCGTGGAACTCAAAATGAGTTTTGGTGGCAGTTTTAAATGAGTGAGAAATTGTTGTAAAACGAGGGAAATACTGCCAAAAGAGAACAGAAAGATAGATAGCTGCACAGATAGACCCCAGAGCCACGCCCGTTCTTCTTCCTGAAATGTTGGAACACTGACAGATAGGGCTTAACTACTTTTACTCAAATGTAAATCCCACCTGAGCTTATTCCAAATGCTCAAGAATGCAGCCCGGACTGGATTTAAGTACTTGCCAGATGTGGGTGGGTGCGTCCCGTTTTTCAGGGGGAATCTGTCAAATTCTTAAATACTTCAAGTCTTTACTGTTGCTTTCCCTCCCGTTGCCATTTGCCTCGGCTGGGTCCTTCCCCGACTCCCCCTTGGATTTAGGAGGCGAAGATTCAAACTTAGCCTGGAAATTCATGCTGCTAATGGTTCATTAATATGGCGCTGCCATTAGAACTGCAGCACTGCAGTCAGCCAGAAGGAAGGGGAGCAGGGGAGCCTTCTCTGAGACCTTTGCTGAGTTGCATTTGGAGGGACCACAGCCCATGAGATAGCTTTCTCCTCCCCGGGTGCAACTGGAAGGATGCGTTTGGCTCATAACCTTTCCCATCATTCCGATTCCAGCAAAGTTTTTTTTCAGCTCCAGCTCATACACTCTTCTTGTCCGGCAGCAGAGGCAGAAGTGAAGGCAAATTGGTCTCTGGATTTTTGCAATTTTTTCCCCTAGTCATCTCCAAGATGATACTCCTTTTCCCACACCTATTATCTACGCCTGTATCTATGTTTTCATCTTGCCTTTGATTATATGAAAAGTAATTTTTTGAGCAGGAGAAGACATATTTGCAATACATTTTTTATCATGCATCATGAATTTGATGTCTGCAATGCTTTTTCATTGCATTAACTGAAAATTAATGCAATGGGAAACAAAGACTTGGCTTTTGCAATACCATGTTAGGCATCATTATCTTGCAGACTATAACCCCCTTCTCAATGCTTTGTGTGGGACTGACTTCTGCGTAAGTTGGTACACTTTGAGAGCTGGGCAGCTGGAATCCTCTCCAGCCTTGCTGGGTTATTAAGTTCCACTGTTGTCATCTGGATTTATTTCTAAATGAGCTTGTGCATGGGTAGTTCTGTAGCTCTGCTTAAGCCAAAGTTTTTGCACACATGACTGTCCAGACCTATTTAAGGCAGTCTTTCCTATGCCCAGGAAAGACTAAAAGAACATGTTTAGCCTTGAGGAAAGAAGATGGATGGACGATATGATGGTACTTTTCAAATACTTGAAAGGGAGTCATATAGAAGAGGGACAGGATCTGTTCTCAATCATCCCAGAGTGCAGGACACATAATAATGGGCTAAAGCTGCAGGAACCCAGATTTAGGCTGAATATCAGGAAAAATGTCCTAACTGTTAGAGCAGTATGACAGTGGAGCCCATGACTTTGGGAGGTGGTGAGCGCGCCAATTTTATTCAAGAGAAAATTAGAGAAACGTCTGTCAGATCTGCATTTATTTGGATTCCTGCCTTGAGCAGGGGGTTGGACTCGATGGCCTTAAAGGACCCTTCCAACTCAATGATTCTATGATTTCCATGTGATAGTAAGTGCTATTCTCTTTCAGTGGAACATCTGATTTCTAGTCCTACTAAGCATGAATGCAACAGCTTAGTAGACAGTGAGGGTTTTGGTTTCTTTAGAAACAAAACCAAGAGAAAGGGAAGGAATATGTGTGGCTAATTGGAAAGGTTTTGAGTATACTTTTCTCCTCTATTTAAATAACATGTACTTGAATGCTGGCAAAATATGGACCAGGTTTTCCCCAAGGGCAGTATAATAATGAAAAATAATAATGTGCTCAGAAAAGGGTGGTGGTAGCTAAGTGATGATGGTGGAAGATGATACTGCAGAAATATTCCCTGAGCTATAGCTTGGCTTCACATTCAATTTTCTTCCTTTCCTTTTTCTTTTCAATCATCATCATCATCATCATCATCATCATCATCATCATCATCATCATCATCATCATCTTTGCCATTAAGTAGTTGGATGTATGGAATACTTGAAAGCACGCTTTAACACCCTTATTACAGATTTTTTTTTTGTTCTGCTTTCAAAGGCCTATTTCTTTATTGCCCTTCTGAAATCTGGGCAGATGAACTTGTCTGATGACCTCAATGCTGATGTTCTCTTAGCCCACATGGTTCCTTTGAAACAGGAATGATGGTGAAAGTATCTGTGCCTGTTTCTTTGCAACCAGCATTCTCCAAAGTGTCCAGAGTGGTGTTGTTAAAGGCAATATGGTTGCTTCAGAAGGAATGTATTAAAGCCCACTGCAGAAAGGATTGTATGCAAAAAAAAAACAACCTATAGGAAATCATGCACATCATGTGGTTTTCAAAGGTCTATTTTGCTTCTTAACATGAATCCTAGTCCATAAATATGTGGCTGTACAAAATTGCTTCTCTTGCATTTTTATGAAGGTGAGAGGAAGGTTGGGGGGCTGTTTCCACATCCCTTCAAATAAACCAGAGTCTTTTCCATGGGACATGTCAAGTGGCTTTGATCCTGCATCCAGTTTGGCTGCACAATTTGAGTGGAACCTCAGTAGTATTCAAACTGCTTAACTGCATGTAGGATTGCTGCAAATGCCCATTATAGTTCTGGGATTTTCCCAGTGTTAACTATGATCAGCTGGAAGCAGTAGGCCCATTGAAATCAATGGGAGAAGTTACTGGTGACTTGATAGCCCGACTTCAATGGGCCTACTGAAAGTATCTCCAAATCCTAATCCCAGTCATGGACTTAGAAAACCCAGCCCACCCCCACCTTTTATTCAGATCTGCTTCTATTTATAGACTAAATATGCTGAGATCTTTCAGTCTCAAAATATATGGGGGAGGGAGAAATTCAAATAAAACAAGGTCAGCAGTGCAGAGAAAAGGGCTTGAGTTGCGTTTCAGTGTTTCAGTGACAGACATTTTTAATAGGGAGACAAGAGAAAACTAGTAAATTTACAATTTCTTCCTTCCTTCTTTGCTCCAAAATTATTTAAAACTGGCAGAAACACCCAAATTCTCAAGGATTAGAAATACTCTATCCCCTGCAAGTGCTCCTTCTCTTTCCTTCTATTATTGCCTTTCTTATCTCCTTTTTAATGGGGACGTGGTGGCATTGCGGGTAGAAGCCTCTGTGCTGCAAGGTCAGAAGACCAGCAATCCGTCATAAAATCAAATCCATGTTTCAGAGTGAGCTCCCA